ATATCTTGTAAAAAGACCAATACCACTAAGAATGTATATTCCTGGTTTTCTCTCACTGAAAAGTCATTTTCTCATCCTGGTGCTAATATGGTGTCAGACCCTTCCCTAACTGTACCATTTTGCTAATCTTCACATCACCCCTTCAGTAAGAGCTGAACAAATATTTCATGGCTCCTATCTCAAGAACTATCTCCATAGTTAATCAATGCTGCATATCTTCTGAAATCTTGACACTGCACCTTTCAGATGGTGTAAAGCTTTAATCTCTAAGGATAAAATAACTTTCAAAATAACTTTCCTAGCATCTACACAAGACACCTGCTATATTGAAATTAAATCGAAATAGCAGAGAGCTTACTTAAAAATTGGTAAACCTCATTCCATGAGGAATAATGCCAATTTTGAAATTGCTATTTCGAAATAAGCACTGTGTAGACACTTATTTTGAAATAAAGGTCCTCCAGCCCTTCCCAGGGTGCCCTGCTGGCCGCCCTGGCCACAAGGTAACTTCTGACCTGAATCCCTGCTGGAACCAGTTCTGGCTGGCCTTAAATGCGATTCAGCTCTTTTGAAATGCACTTTGTGTTTAGACGTGTTATTTTGAAATAAAGTATTTCAAAATAACTATTTCAAAATTAGATATTTCGAAATAACGCTGTAGTCTAGACATACCCTAATTTTAGAGCTCATGAGGATGTGCTAAAATCACTCTGGAACTGCTATGAAGGTGGGAGGGGGAGTAATGTCATTAGAAAAACTGGAAAGACAGGGCACCAACTAAGATTTTTATTATTTTTGTTACCAAATGTTGAGTGTTTTCACAAGACTGAACTGATATTATCTATTGCTTTTATTTGAGGCTTTTCTTTGTCTTTGCTGTAACTCTGTGGTTTCTCATCACACTCAATTTTTTTCTGTTCTACACTCACTTGTTCCTCCCTGCCTTCCAGACAGATTCCCAATTTGCTAGACGGGACCTGTTGAGTGCATTCCTTTGTTAACCTGGAGTGACTCGCACACAGAGGACCAGGTCTAGAAATAGGAGACAGGTTTACAACTGACAGGGTTTTCACAGTGAAGAAAATAACCACTGTGCTTACCCACCCTTGCTTTTTATGGTAGAAACTGTAGCATTGGAACTATGAACTGCATAGAGCTATTGCTCTATACATTGCATCATGGCCAAAAACTTTGTTTTCCAGGATTACATATGAATGACCATGGAGGAAGCTGAAGATCAAAGTTGTAAATCAAAGCTTCAGATCAAAGAAAAGTGTCACCTTTTCTGTGATGCATACGCAAATTTTGCAAAGTCAATGCTCATCTCTGAAAAATACTACAATAGGAAGAAATTAGTAAAAATGCTCCAGAATCAGAACTCTAAAAACAGAAATACCAGCGTAGACATGGGTAGAGATTTGTTCCCTAAAGATCTAGTATGAATTGACTATTTGCAGGCATACTGGCTGGGGACAAGGGTATCTTAGTTACATTTAGTTCTCCTTTATTATGATTCTGACTCATAAGCAATAAATGAATGAAAAAAGATTAACCTGTAAAATTCAACCCTTCTTGTTATCCAACTGCCAAAATAATCAAGTGCTTGCTTGCTTCAGCATTTTACATGTTTCAGCGAACAGAATGCTTTTGTAATCGTTTAGTCAAGTGTTAAATATGTTCAAGGCCTGGAGAACAGTATTTCAGAACTGCTCTCTAGAACACATTTCTGTAATGAAATTGTCAGCTGATGATTGCTGGAAATAGAACAGACATTATTTACTTCATATTGCCAGATTTTATTTAACTCAACAACAGGAAAAGAAATAATTGTGCAAAATCAGTATTTAAAACTTAACTAAATATAGAAAACCAGCCATTCAACTCCTATCATGGGAGTTAGTTTCCTAATTCCTACATACAGTAAACCTACATTTTGGTCCACTGCTTTATACAAATATTTGCTAATATATCCTTTTGCAAGGATTCTGAGTGGGACAGTCAGGGTATGTCTACACTAGCTCGTTAGTTCGAGCTAGGTAGGCAAATGAGGGCAACCGGAGTTGCAAATGGAGCCCGGGATTTAAATATCCCAGGCTTCATTTGCATGTCCCTGGGCGCTGCCATTTTTAAATCCCCCCTTAGTCCGAACTAACTGCCCGAATTAAACGTTAATTCGAACTAACTCCTTAGTTCGAATTAACTGTTACTCCTCGTGGAATGACATACCCTCATAGTCTTGGTTTTTGAGAACAAATCCACTGGCCAGTAGCATAGAGTTGCTTACTACCCCAATCCCAAATATTTTTTTAATTAGACAGATTCTCTTGAAGTTTCTGAGACTACCATGACCTAACTTTTTAACCAGTTTTCTCATGATTTTGTCATAATGGTACATTGAAAATACACAAATCTATTTGTCCTATCATCCAGCACAGGAATAGCTAGTCTGTAAAATCTAGTAATTACTTTTATGCAAGTTTTATTATTAATGCAATATAGTATTTGCAAATATTTTACTTAAATATACAAAATGTTTCATTGCAAAATATATAGTAAATTAAATCAACCCATTATTGAGAATTCGTAATTCTTCCTCTGTTAATTACTTTAAGAAAGTATTAATTTCTTAAAGGATATCCTGTTGTCTTGTTACATAAGCACTTACAGAAATAAGATAATTCTGCTAGATGACTTAGTATCATGTCCAGTAACACGTGTGATAAATGTGTTTGCCATATCCACTTGTTATACTGAAATATTCAGTACTTGGAATTCTCCTATTCTTTTAACAGGAAACTAATTACCATGGTTTCTATATCAAATTCCATTCCAAGGGATTGTTACCTCTTTTTGGATTCATGTGTAGTTAACAATGTATGATAAAGTGACTTTTATATTATCCACTTGCTAAAACACACCAGCACTCAGAAAAGTCTGACCTCAGAAGTTCAAAACCAAGCTTGTGTTACCCATTACTTATTTGATAAGGCCTTTCTGAGTCATTAATCTTTATCTGGGTAAGATAAAATCCAGCATGCTACAGTACTTACCAGACACCTTTACTACAATTACACAGAATGACTGCTCTGGCTAACCTCTCTTCTTCCCTCTCCCCCCCCCCCCCCCCAAAAAAAAAAAGGTGTTTTATGGACTGGAAAAAAATAAATATGTTAAGATTCTATGCTCCACTTTTAATTAGTCATTCATTTTCAGCCTGTCTCCAACACAGGAAATCTTTGGATACATGATAATTTCAAAAAGGAAAAACCATTTAACTTTGATTGCTGCCTCAATGAAACTTTTAAGAATGACTCCCAAAGCTTCATCACTTAAATTTAAAGAAAACATTAATAAATGACTCAGCCTTGTTGTACTCTTTTCCACACACATGTATCTCACATGAAAGTCAATATTCTGCTACTTTTTCCAATTCAATATTCTGCTACTTTTTCCAATTCTACTGGTTGCCAATTTGTAGCATTTGGTAATCAGATGAATATGCAGAGTTCAAAATTCGAGAGCAAAAATGTTTAATTTGAAGCAAGGTCTTGGCAAAATGTGGTATGTGTTAATGATACATCTCCTCTGTGAAGGGAAGGAAAGGTATTAAAAATAGATGTTTTGAAAGGAAGCTTTTAAGGCTACTTACGTTGGTGTAACTAAGTCACCCAGGTGTGTGAAAAATCTGCACCCTGAGTGATGCGGTTATACCAACCTAATCTCCACTGGGGACAGCACTGTGTAAACAGGAGGTCTTTTCCTGTTGACATAGCTACCACTTCTCCTGGAAGCGGATTAACTGTGCTGACAGACGCAGCTCTCCTATTGACATAGTGTTTTTTACTGAAGTGCTACAGCTTTATGACCCCAGCATTTTAAGTGTAGATTCCCCTAGTTATCTAGAGCAGCCTTAATCTAAAACTAACTATTCATAAGAACTGTGCAAAATTGCGATTATTTAAATCTGCTTCCAGAAACTATAGTAGAATTAGCAATACTGTGTATCAGCCTTTTCTTTATAGCTTACCATATTGTGTACAGTTACAATAAGAAATAAAATAGGGTGACTTCCTCAGAGAAACTTGAAAATATAGCTCAATTAATCAAAAATATTACCATTACATTGAATGAGACTGATGAAAATAAGGAGACTTTATCCATGGTAACGTAATACCTACAGCTAAGATAAATTTGAGACTCGAATAATACTAAACTTAAGGTAAACTTGGCCTTTCATGCAGGTTTTCTAACTTCTGCCCTTCTATAGTTAGGGAGCACATGGCCAAATTTTAGTCTCATTGACGTTGATGGCAAAACACCTGTTGACTTCAGTGCAACCAGATCTTGATGTGCTTGTAAAGGGTTATCGAGAATAAACCAGTGTCTGAAGAGTAGCCAGGCGCAATACAAAGAGCTAAATGTTCAACCCAAACTGATTTTCTTCAAATGAAGGAGACTTCTGTATTTTTATATGCGTTGTCAGATTTTTAAAAGGTATCTGTTTTATAGTGCTTTGCTCGATGTCAAAGAATTCTGCTATTTCTTACACTTTTAAAAATGCAAGATTTTGGAAGTAGAGGAGGAGGGACAGGTAATATTGTCGTCTTCAGGCAAAAAGAGATTAGGTATGATTTGGATTAAAGTATGCAAGCTGTGTTTGACTATGGAAACCGAATTGTTAGATTTGTGTATGCAAAAGGCATTTGTGGACAAAATCAACTTTTGTATACACAAATATAGGTATGAAAAAATGTGGATGTGAAAAATGGACAATTTTAGGCCACTTGGAAAACAGATTTATTGAGCTATATGTTAAGGATATTCAACCTTTTTAAAGCAATGTACTTGGAGTGATTATATGGATTTCCTATGTTCCTTTGCTTTAAGATCATTTGACCCTTAGTCTTCTGTCCTATAATGCACTGGGATATTAAATGCCCAACTTCATGTACAGCCCCTTACATAGAGGATCATTGGTTTGTTCCTCTGTTCATTTCTAGAAGAGATATGTACATTGGTGATTGCAGAGACTTTTCCTGAAGATGCAGGAACCTTCACATGCACAACAACAAACGAATATGGATCAGTGACAAGCAGTGCGCAACTTACTGTCTGCTCAGGTATGTGTCAAAAGGGGAAAAGAAATGTATATTGGAATGCTTAGATAGTTGAACTTATGTGACATCTGTGCAGTTATCTGGCTACTTTGCAGAAAACAGATGCTTCAAGACAGAGTTTGTTTTGGAAACTTCTTGCTGCATCTTCTGTTCTATCTCTGTGTGAGTCTTCTGACATCTTCCAGCGCATACTGATTACTTTCTGAATCTGAAAGCTGTCCTTAATGGAGATAAGAGAAGGCTATTCTGTTTATCCTAAAAATACATTTAAAAAGGAGCCATAATGGACTCTAGTAAATCTTTTCAGAAATCCAGCTGCTAATTGAGAGGGTCAACTACTATCAAGCAGCTGCAGCTGAATCAGAGGTGCCTTTTCCTGCAGCAATGCAGACAAATGTGAACACTGAACCTAAAAACTCCCACAGAGGAGTAAAACAAAAAAAAGCAGCTAAAGTGTTAATGAAAGGGATGACTATGAAGTATTGTGAACATGGTAAAGTAACTATAAAGAAAATTCCAAGGAAAATACCAAATAGAAATGGGTTTGAATAAATAGAACCCTAAAGAATAAACAGCTGGAGTGAAATGTATGACAGTCAAAAGTCAAAGCAGTCAAAAGTCTGTTATTTCTTCAAGTTATGCATTAGGAAATACTTTCTAACTATAAGCATAGTTAAATGCTGAAATAGGCTTCCGAAAGAGGCAGTGGAATCCTCATCACTGGATGTTTTTAAGAACAGCTTAGATAAATACCTGTCAGGGAGTACTTGGTCCTGCCTCACACAGGGGGCTCAGTTGGATGACCTTTTGTCACCTTTGTGATTCTGTAATTTATGTTTATTAGAATGTGCCTGTCCCAGCCTCTTAATACAAGAAATAATTTTTAAAAAGAAACTTAAACATAGGTCTATTGATCAGTGCTCAGTACTAAATTCAACAACCCACAGAAATAAATCCAATGAATACCCCTGCTGGAGCACACTTAGTGGTTTATGTAGGGGATTTTTTCTGGCAACTAAGTCAAATGACTGAAATACTAGAAAACCTGAGTTCTATTTCCAGCTCTGTCAATGGTGTCCAGTGTGATCTTGGGCTTGGGCTAGTCACCCAAATTCTTGAGGCTGACTTATCTCATCTATAAAATGAAAGAAAATGCTTATTTAATGGATGAAGCTACGTTGCAAAGTCTGTTACCATCCTCAGATAGAACTGACCACGTGAGTGCCAGAATTACAGTTTGTTGGTTTCTTAATAATTAATTTATGTATATGAAACCCCGTTAGAAAAAATAAGATAACCAAGCTGGACAGATTGTTTAACATCAAAACTCTGAGGCTAGATGGCAGCAAAAGCAAAAATAAAATAGATGAAGTTATGCTGGCAAAAATTAAAATAAAATCCTTGTGTTTTTTATGTAAAATTTGAAGTAGAAATTCAAGCCTTTAAGTTTTGGATTATACTAACAGCTCACATACGTGTTGTTGAATATGTGCAATGACTGCTAACAAAATTCCAATATAGGCAATTCATTCAGGCTGCTGTTCTTGAATAACTGTAGGTCATTCATTCTTAACTGGTGATTATTCCACCGGCATCATGAGTAGTTAGGCATGAAAAGTTTGTAGCATATCTAATTTGGCATGAATATTTGTGTGAACTTCAGAAAGAGTATCCAGCTGATGCAGCCACTGTATATAACACAAGTGAAGTGATCTCATCTTGAATGAACTAGAAGCATACTGTGAATATGTGTTGAAGCATATGTTATGTAGTTTGAATACAAGTTGTTTAACAGGATCATAGAATCATAGAATAATAGGACTGGAAGGGACCTCAAGAGGTCATCGAGTCCAGCCCCCCGCCCTCAAGGCAGGACCAAGCTCCACCTACACCATCTTTTTTGTTTTGTTTTAGCCATCTCTGAAAGCTCTAGCCATGAGTTGTCAACAGGAGAATCTAGCAGTGATGATTTCCAACATTTCCCACCTCCCCCTCCAGTTCTTGAGATTAGTTCTCTTGAGCTTCCTCCAAAGAAGCATACAGACAGCCAACAGGTGAACAACACTGAGTTTAGGCCCAACGTAGCAGCCGTTCAGTTACAGCTCAATTCTGCTGAGAAGCAAACCAACGGCATCCACTCCAGTCATGGAGCAAATGGAGAGATTAACAGCAAAGCCAAGAGAGAGAAATCTGCTCCAGCTCCTTCTGTCCTGCTTTCCCCCACAAAGGAACCACCACCAGTCCTTGCCAAACCAAAGCTGTGAGTATTACTGCATGATTTTTATTCTTCCTTTCTAAATTTGTTGGCTGTTGAAAGCAAACCTTCTGCCCTAGCACCATTGTGTGTTAGACACGTAATGGCCAGAACTGTGACTATCTTTTAATTTTTCTCACTGATATGGATTAAATCCTAAGCAGCTGAGTCCATGATGATCCATGTACTTTGTCTTAAAATCATACCAAATGAAAGTATGTTATAACTTATGTTGTTCTTAGTATTTTAAGTGAAAGCTACAAAACAAAAGAGATTCAGATTGTCTGGTACTCTGCCTTTTATTCAGTCATTTGTGCTTAAATGTTTTATTGATCTAAAACTCTTGCATAACACCACTTCTCCCATAACTGAGTATTATTTGACTAACCATTTTTATGGTAAAACTTAAAAAACAACAAATAGTCTGATAGCACTTTATAGACTAACAAAACATGTAGATAGTATCACAATTGCTAGCTCTCCAAATACGCAAGCTTTTGTACATTATTTCTCTTGCCATATGATAATAAAACATGAACAATTTCCACTGACATTGATAAAAGTGAAGAGCTATATAATATGATAGAAACTTGTACAAGATAGGAAAGATGGGTGTAAAAAATTACAACAGATAAAATCCTTGCATTTATGACCTTATATCAATGACACTACAAATTATACTTCATGCTAAACATCAGTTTGGCTTTTGTTCTATGCATAGTCTTGTTTATATTTAAAACTTACAATTGCAGATCTATATCAATTAGGGGAGTGATGTTTTTTGTTTCTTTGTTTAAACTGATTTTGCTATGTCAGCATAAACCCTAGCATAGAGACATATATACACATGTAAAAGTGCTTTTGATGGTGTAGTTAACTCTGATTCTCCAAGAGACATTAGGAAAAGCAGTTTTATGCCAATGCATGCTACATCTATTCTTTGAAATATATCAGTATATGTACTGGCATAGTGTAGACGAATGTTTGTGTTCTGGATCAGTACTGCCAGGAATTGTTGTACCCTGAAAGTCTAATTTGAAAGTATTAGAAACAGGGCAGAGTGGTACATATCTAAAAGAGAGGTGTGGTTTTTTTGTTTGTTTGGGGTTTTTTTGCCCTTGAGTTACTTTTTTAAAATGAGGACAAAGAAATGTCAGCCATGCAAAGTCTTATGTTTACCAGGTGCTGTTTCATCCTTTTTGTTTTTTCTTTTTTTACAATGGGTGTGGTGACTTGTGAATTCACAACTGGCCAAAACCAAAAGAACCATTCTGATCAGTGGACTATTACAAGGTACTAATTAGAAGTAATGCATTGAGAACCATTGGTAGACTCAAGTGAGAGATATGAGATATTGCTTGTGTATGTTAGGCCACGTCTATGCTACATGATAAGGCTGAAATTATTAAGGTCAGTTTTTAGCGCCTGATTTTGTCCAGTCAAAGGTTCATGTCCCCACTGAACACAAGAATTCAATGTATTTGGAAGTAGCACATTCTCAGTAAGTTGGTTACCGTTGACTTTGTGAGTGATGCACTGTGGGTAGCTATCCCATAGTACCTGTACTCCTTTGCATTCTGGGTTATGCTCCCAGTGCATGCTGGGATTAAAACTGAGTCATGAGTGGTTGTGAGTACATATTGGAAGCATCCCATAATGCACTCGTTTCCTTTCTTCCCCCTGCAGTGACAGTCTATTTGTACCCATTTTTTTCTTGTTGATTATCTGCACAGACGCTATAGCGTGAGCATGGAACCCACTGTGGATCTTGTTTAGCATCAAAGCTTTATGATGCTCATGTTAACCTTGGTGTGTCTAATGCTGGAGTATGTCCAGAGTATATCCAGGGTCCACTGGAACGAGGAAGAATCTCAGGAAGCAATGAACATACTCTTCTGCAAAGGATTTGAGTTGAGCAAATTGCAAATGCTGCTGGCATTCAATCCTTTGTATGCAATGGAATGCCAGTTCTGATGCCATGAAATAAACACATTGTGATGCAGGTATGGGGCACTTTTGCATGCATAAAGTCACTTTCATGGAACTTTGTGAATTGTTTTGCCCTTCCCTGAAGTGCAAACATACCAGAATGAGACCTGTTCGGACAGTGGAGAAGCAAGTGGCAATAGCCCTGTGGAAGCTTGCAATGCCACAAAACTAGCAGTCAGTTGGGAATCAGTTCAGGGTGGGAAAATCTACAGTGGGTGCTGTTGTGATCCAAGTAGACAAGGCAATCAGTACCCTTCTGGTACAGAGTGTAATGCCTCTCTGAAATGTGGAGGACATAGTGGAGGGCTTTGCTGAGCTGGGGTTCCCTAACTGTGGTGGGGCAAAGATGAAACATGCATCCCTGTCTTGGTACCTGACCACCTTGCAAAGGAGTACATAAACCAAAAATAGTACTTCTCAGTGCTGCCAGGGGCTGGTGGATCAGAAGGGCCATTTCACTGACATCAACCTGGGATGGGATGCATCTTTAGAAACTCCTGCCTGTTTGGCAAGCTACAAGCTGGAACTTTTTTCCCTGACCTGAAAATTACAATTGGAGATGTTGAAATGCCAATAGTGATACTTGGTGATGCAACCTACCCCTTGCTCATGAAGCCGTACACGGGCAGCCTGGACCACAGCAAGGAGCTGTTCAACTACAGAACTATTTCTGGTGTATTGAGTGTTATTTGTCTGCATGTCTGTGAAATGCAGACAGAACAGTTTTGTGGCCATTTAAAAGGAGGATGAGTGGCTCTGGCAGACGTTTTTGGTAGAAGAAGTAGAAGTAGTGCTGGCAAAGCCTCGGACTCCTTAAATTGCTCTGAGTGGTGCTGAGGGCCGGGTGTCCCCATCCCATCCCTTCTGGGAGCACAGAGCCAGCCCCTGCACCTTGCCCAGGGGCCTGACAAGTGTGTCAACCCCACTGAGTCAAAGCTTTACTGCACTGCTTAGAGGGATTGATCAATTGTAGCCCCTGTATAAGGAGCGTGCTACAACTGGCCTCCAGGAGCTGGGTCACTGCCCAAAGGAATTTGGCCCACCCCCTGGGCCTTTGCCCTGCTCACTAAAGATTAATATCCTAACCTATGCATTTACGCATCCATCCATCGTCACCTCAATTAAATACAAAATTAAGTTTTTGAATAGCGGTAGACCATAATTAAAATCCAGACTGCCAAAAACCCGAGTCTAATTAGTAACCTGACATTGAAAAGTATGGTTTAATTGCAGATCTAAAATAATTGTGCCCAAATTACTGCTTTGGGCAGGCTCTACGTTTTTTTTAATCAAGATTCAACATCAGTGCCACTGGAGAGGAGCTTATCACCACAGAAATATGAGAAACACAGGAGATTAGTAGAGAGCAGCGAGGAAAAACAATCTCCCAGCATTGACTTTTTTTCCTCTTATATTCATATGTCATTTCTACAGTCCAGATGAGCTGATCTTACCTTCCTATATTCTGGATTTGTGGCACTATAGTAAATTCTTTCTACAAAATTATTACCCAACAGCTAACATGATTATTTCATTTGCCAGTGTAATTGGATTTATTGTATTCCCAAGTAAAAATATCTAATCCTCTGAAGCCCAGTATATACTCTTACAAAAAAAAGTTATGATAGAGTTGAGGTTGAGAGTTTATATCAGTAAGGCAAGAGTAACTAACACATTATAAGGAAGTTGTAATTACCCCAAAGCCAAATGTTACAAAGTCAGGAAATTCAGAGTTAAGTTTGTACTTAAAAGAAATCCAAACAAGATAAGATTAAAAATGCATTATTAAGGCACTTGAGAGAAACGAGGTCTGTGGGATAATATCTTTTATTGAACAAATTTCTATTTGTGAGAGAAACAAGCAAGCAGCAGAAGCTGGTCCAATAAAAGCTATTACCTCACCTCATCTCTTATATCCTGGGACCAACATGGCTATAAAAACACTATTAAGGCACTGACATTAAAAGACACATTTTCCCACTTTCATGACATCACTGAAGGGGGGGAGGGAGTTAAGATGTCTTAATTGTGCCTTTCTTGTTTTTAAATCCTAGAGTGAGATGCTGTGCTATAGTATAGACCTTGCCCAGGCTTTGCAACCTAGGGGGAGCTGAGGGGCCAAAGTGGCTTTAAGCCACCATTACACCCTACTGATTGTGCACTGTTCTTATTGGCTACGTCTACACTGGCCCCAAATTCCGGAAAAGGGATGCAAAGCAGGTAAGTCAGAATAGGGAAATCCGAGGGGGATTTAAATATCCCCCGCGGATTTAAATAAACATGTCCGCCGCTTTTTTTCCGGCTTGGGGAAAAGCCGGAAAAAAAGCGTCTAGACTGGCACGATCCTCCGGAATAAAGCCCTTTTCCGGAGGATCTCTTATTCCAGAGGATCGCACCAGTCTAGACGCTTTTTTTCCGGCTTTTCCCCAAGCCGGAAAAAAAGCGGTGGACATGTTTATTTAAATCCGCGGGGGATATTTAAATCCCCCGCGGATTTCCCTATTCTGACTTACCTGCTTTGCATCCCTTTTCCGGAATTTGGGGCCAGTGTAGACGTAGCCAATGTGTTTGCTTTTATTTTAAGTGTAACCTTCACTCTGAATTTCCTGGGTTTTTAACACTTTGGTTTGGGATAATTAAAGCATCTCTGTAATGTGTTTTACTCTTATGTTACTGACACACTCAACATCAACACCACCTAAATGCCATGTTTTGTTTGTATGGGAGCAGAGGAAGATTGGCAGGAAATGTCTTTAGTATGCTTAAGTTTATTAAAAAATATCATACCTAGTACTAAATAAGAAATATTATTTTATTTTATTTCATTTTTCAGGACAGATTCATCAGTACAATAAACTAGCCGAAGTAAACCAAGCCAGTTAATTTTAGTTTACAGATACTTTGCATCACCAGTGAAGTCCAAAGCAGTCCAAATGTATTTGTAAATCTGGCCCTTAATTTGTAATTGATGTATTGGTTTCAAGGGCTTTAATAGTGAAACTGGTGTTGTGTTAAGG